TCCGTGGTGTTAGGGTTCTTTTCAATTTTTGGCATTCACCATCAAATCAGCGATACTGCCATCGTTTTGAGCTGCGGCCTTGTTGCACCGGAAACACATGACTGAGGTATTCCAACGATTAATTCGTGTATTTTCAATTTCAACATTCTTGTAACAATAAAATTGATTCTATTTTTCTGTGTACATAACGTAAAATTGAAGGAGCAAAAAATCAGATTCCGTGACTCCATGGAGCTACAGTATCAAGAGAGTGAGACAGACGAGTCTTCTTCTTCTTATAGTTCCTCAGAAGACGTGGGTAACTTTATAAATACCATAAAGTCGCGGTTTTTATAGGTTTTTCTTTTGGGGTTGCTTTGAAACCAAGTTCATAGTGAGTGTGAAGTGTGATTGATTTTGATGATTATAGGAGGAGGAGGAGGAGGAGATAGAGAAGGAGCTGGCTGATGTAACGTTTGAGGAGTTGCAGAAAGCACGCTCAAATGGGGCACATGCATTTTTGCAGAAACCCAGAGAGGACAAAAAATTAAAAAGGGCTAACAAGAACAGGTATTGTATTTTGTAACAGTTTACTAGAGTGGTTTTCTTATTCTTGTGTTGTGTCCATGAAACCACATGCAAATAAATGTGTAATGTTTGCCTAGGCCAATGGAGGCTAGTTGCAAGAAGCCGGTTTCTGCTTTTAGAGAGGTCATCCAAGCTCCAAAGAAGGTTGATTTATTTGTTACTTGTACAGTTTAATGTTCTGTTTATTTTTTAAAATTCATTCTATGTTACTGCTTTTTGTTGAATTGTTTGACGCATTGAGTAGTTTAACTCCTCAATGTCTAATGAGGCCCTGTAGCAGGCAAATCATTCTAATATTTTATCCCTACAGTGTAAAGCCATTTGCTGACTTATACAGAGGTGGGAGACCAGTTGTTGTCTGTTGTTTATTGTTTGCTTTACATTTTACATGTGCACACACATTCTGACACATTATTAAGACTTTGGGTTCATTTCATGTGTGTAGATTCTGGATATGAGCTGGGTTAAAT